CCGAGCCCGTACCCGGCCCGCAGCGGAGGGGCCGGCGCTGCAACAGCGAGCACCGCACAACCGGGCCCCCGACCGCCGCCATCGCGCTGAGCAGGACGTCCGTCATCACCGCGCGCACACTCCCGCCATTCCGATTGGCCCCGCGCCGCCGCCGCACTGACCGGCGCACCTGCCAATCAAAGCCCGCGTCCTGGTTGCCATGGGAACGAGGGCGGCCCCTGGCGGGCGAGGCGGGAACTGCGGCGGGAGCGCTGAGGGCGGGCGGAGGCGGCCCCGGCCCGGCCCCACAGCAGCGAACGCGTCAGGCCGTACCACAAACAAAATAGCGTTTATTGCTGGTTCATCTCGTTTAGATGGACACAGAAAACCTTCCAAAGCATCATATCAAAAGGATAGTGTCTCACATTAACTAAGAGCGGACTAAGGCAGATTTCAAACAATAAACGCAGTTTTGTACAGAAAATTCTTAACCACAATCTTTAAATAAAGGACTGTAGTAGCCTACAGGAACACAAAGCTTTCTGAGACACATGGTCCCAGCAGTTCAGGTAAGAGAGAGGAAATGTGAAATTAAAGGGTACTGACACACAGTATTACGAACCAATAATTTAACTCTCAAATATTCACATTTTAGAACACAAAGAACAGTAGTCAAAATGTTCATACAAGAATAAAACGCAAATAATAATGACTTACAACATTAAAAAAAGAAAAGGCTCCTCCACAGCAGCAAGGCTGGTGCCCCAGCATTGCTGTGCCTGTTGGCTTTTTCCTACCCAGAGTGTTTATTCAGAGCTCTTTTATCAGCTTGTTTTCTCTGAAGCATTTTGTGACCAGCTATCCAGTGCTCAACTGCTCTTGCTGCTTTAGAGCAGCATAAATAGCAAACCCTCACCTCTCAAAATATTTAGAAAACTGATCTCAAACCCATGCCATATTTTCTTTTCCTTATGCATTATTTAAAAATACTTCCACACATACTTCTTTTTAAAACCAATACAAATGAAAGGCATTGAAAACATGTAAAACCATACCTTTCCCTTCTCTTGTGATTCTTATAGCATAATTTGTAAAAACAGTACAAAAGAGTTTCAGTTCTGATCATATTTTACCCAAACTCCCTGAAAAAATAGGGATGTAACAAATCCCAACATCCCTGAAGCTGTATCAAGCATTAAAGTATCCTTTTTTGAGCAGCTCTAACACAGTATAAATCAGCTGAATTTCCAAGTTTTGGAAACTTTAAGCCCCACTAACTTAAACAAGAAAGACTCAGACCACAAGCACCCATTCCACAGCCCACAGTCCCAGGGTGCCAGTCAGCTGCTCAGTTTTTAGGAGCTGCAAATGCTTCTGCTGTTATCTTGTTGTTCTGGGAATTTAATGAAGTCAAGTTCTTCTGGCTTTCGTGGTTTTCAAGGATACCTCCGAGCTTCTGCTATCTTTCTGCTCAGGAATATCTTGTCACGACTCATCTGGAAAGACAGAATAAGTATGACCCACATGAGCAGTGCTAATATAAGTCATCTACAACAGCTCATTTCTTCATTAGAAATAGGTGCACTCACCACATTGTACTGCTCCAGCACACTCTCGACTGCCTGAACAATTTCAAGTTTACAATGGCCTTGACTTAATTTATCTCACCTCAGGTCACACATTAACAGTTCTGTATTGAGCTTAGTAAAAACATCTCACACACCTCAAAATTTAAAACCATGCTTCCAGGAAGCTGAACAAGAGCAAGCAAACAAAAATAAAAAGCACGAAAGAATTTTCAGAATTAGCAGCTGATTTGTGAACCCTTCAAAAAGCAGGAAGGCTTTTGTTCCTAAATTCCTCACTCCTCAAAAGTCTTCCCCCAGCAGTGTTTTTCTGCACACAGGTTGTTAAATGCCATATCTAAAAGAAGAACATACCAAGAAATGCACTATTTCATAAGAAAGTGAGAAATCTCACTACTGAGGCTGAGTTCTGACTCCAGCAGCTTGTCAGATCACAGCACACGAATGCAGCCAAACCTGGCAGTGGCTTTTCATGGCCACAAAGCAGCACTTCTGCACTGGCACCCTTCTCCAAAGGGCTGATTAGTGGTGACTTGTTTCACTTTCAGTACCTGCTCAAGCAGTTCTGGGCCTATGCTCAAGAGCAAGACCAGAAAAGATGCAGTAGAAATACAGGCCTGGAGGGAAGAGTAGGGAGTTGGGTGCCTGTTTGTGAGGGCAGAGAAGAAAACAGAAGTAGAGGTTGTGCAAGATGGTAGAGGGCACAGGAAACACAGGATTCAGGTTCTTCTTTGACAGAGAAAAAAACTCATGCAGATAAGTGAATTTAAACAAGGCAACAGATGAAAAACAGGGACACAGCTTCTCAGGGGCATATCTCTTGCATGTGTGCTGCCTGATATAACCAGACCTTGTTCTAGTTGCAGCTGAAAGAAAATCAACTCCACTGAGAAATACCACAATGCTTTGGCAATTTTTCCTGGGTAATTCGTAAACATCCTTCATTGTCTGTAGCAAACACCAAATACCCAGGAGGCTACGAAAACCAATATTCCTCTGCATGCTTCATTTCTGTACCCCTAAAGTTCTCTTTTTGTTGTGTCAATAAATTGTTGGGTCAGATCTTACCAAAACCAGTTGCTCTCTCAGCTGTTCAATCACTCGTTTGTGTGCTTGAGCCAAGGCAATAACACAGAACATAATGATGCTGTAAACAATAAACAAAAAGAGAGAACTTGAGATTTCCAAAGTACATAATAACAAGTTCAGTTCAGGAGAACACATAAACGCGTGCTACAGAAGGAAGGGCAGGATGGAGCCCAAAATAAGCCACAAGGTTTTTCAAGCATAGAGGTTTTAGAAATCATCAGGTGGTAATAAGGCTCCAAAATTTGCAACCAGTTTAGTTAAACTGAAATTTAAACTCAAAAAAAACCCTCCATTTAAACTTAAGGAAAAAAACAAAACATTTTTTGTTGGAAGACTGACCAGACACTAGAACAGAGTGTTGTGGAGTCTCCATATCTCTGGAGATACTGAAAATCTAACTGGGTATGGTTCCTGCTCTACTTAACCCTGATTTGAATAGGAGAGTAGGGTTAGATTCTCTCTACAGGTGACATCCAACCTTAAAAATTCTATGATTCTACACTGAATTTCATCTTACAGAATGACTGTTTTGGGAGCTTTATTTGTTTTTTCAGACTGGGGTTTGTGGATAGGAATTGTGATCACGGGGCTTACTGTACTAATTTGCAGAGGATTCACAGTTGACATTTCTGAGAAGGACGCTGTTGAGTATGGGATGTGCAAGAGGAAATGGAACAAAGCTGATGAGTGTGAACACATGGGTAAAGACCTAAGGGCTGAGGATTCATATGGGTTGTGATGCTTTTGACTGCAAATGGACAGTCTGGTCTAATAGATGCTCGGTATGCATTCACTAAGCAAGGAAATGAAGCTGCGTAAGTGAATCAGGTCTCTACTACTCACCAAAGGATCACAAAGAAAGGAACTGCAAAGGCTTCTGATGCCATGCCAAAAACGATCTGCGGCAGAGGTGTTGGAAACCCAAGTACTGTAACTGGAATAACTTCCCATGAAGTGTTAAAATTCCTGAATGGCCCACATGCCTTGGAAGAGGGGATACTGTCAAAGAAGCAGAATAGAAAGATGTTATACCAAAACATAAAATAATCCAGCACAAGACCAGCACCCATTTGGGGATGCAGTAAAAGTGTTTTATGTTTACAAAACTGTAATTTTTGTTTATATCAACTAAACTATAGGTTTATGTGTTATACCCTATATATTCTATAAATTCTATTAATCATTCTAAAGTTGTGTGTCTGCTTTTACAGAACTGACATCCTTAGCACAAGGGTCAACTTCACAGAACTTCAAATTGTCACTTACTGTGCTATGCTGACTCCCAGAGGGACAAATGCCAAGAGGAGCCCAATCAACAGCACCACCAGGAAGAAAAAGTTGGAACTTGATGCCCTTACAGGCCTTGCTGCAGGTTTGCATGTGTGTATCAAAACAATCTGAAGAGGCAAGGTGAGTAAAACTGTTACCAGTACATCTGCATAGACAGACACCCAAACATACTTCCCACAGCAACAGAATTTTCCATTCTCAAATGTGCCACCAGCTACCACACAACCACTTCCTTCGATGTGCATGGGCTGAGAAGAGCTAAGACAAGATTGCCTCACATTTTGGTACAAGTCAGTATCTCCTAATTTGTGTAAGAATTTGATCAGGAGGACCTCACACACTTGCAGAGTCAATGGACACAACAATTCAACGTATGATCCATGGCACTGCCATTGGCTTTGTCCCACACATCTGCACTGGATACATCCCCTCCTGCAAGACCTAAAGTATCAGCAAGAATTGGATGCACAGAAGGAGCTGTGTGGTCACTGAGCAAACCTTCTGATAGTCAGAAATCACATGAACATCCAACCCAGCTTGGATGTTCCATTTTGCTCCCAAACTTTTAGCAGTTTTGCAAAATTTTGTCCAAGCTCTAAGCTGTGTTGCTAGTACTCAGTCCTTTATCAACCACATGCTTTTATTACCTTTTTAACATAGAAGATGATGAAATATTTTATAGTTGCTATTGCAGGGAGAAATGGTGAAAAGAAGGTTCCAATCCAGCAAATAGTCTGCCCATAAATTATTTCCAGGACATTGTCAGAAATTACAAATTCCCGATATCCAAACCACTGAACCAGCTTGCAAGAGCAGTGAGTAACTAACAACCTGAAATCAAAGAATATTGTTAGTCCCAAATTGAAGTTGTAGAGCCTTGATGCATTCTAACACATTTGAAACACATAGAACTTAGCATTTAAGAATTAGACAACATAATAGAAAATGTCTGAAGAAAAAAGCTCTCAAATATTAAAACCTGTACAGACATCTGAATAGCAAATAGGTGCTCAAGCCACCAGAAATATGTTTATGCTTTATTTTAAAACTAGTAATTTGGTTAGAAATATGGGGAATTTAAAAGAAAGAAAATGTGTTTCATGTCATTTGTAAAAAGATGCTCAAAAAGCAGAGATACATACTTTCTAGGGAAGTCCACAAACAGGGCCACAGCAATAATTATAATAAAATCAAATATCATCAGTTTGTACATTTCTTGCCCAACATCAGATTCCCAGCACTATAAAAACAAGTCAGGATAAACAAGATTAGCAGTCTAAATAAACAAGTGAAAAATTCGTCTATCACGAAAGCAATAACCATCACAGTTAGCATCATGAAGTTCAAATGCTATTAACTCAAATTTCTAAAATATTCAAGTGTTTCAATGTTCCCGAGCCAAGTTTTTCACTTTTTCTTGTTTTTTGTTTTGATTTTGGTGTTTTTCTGTG